ATTTGTTAGAAATTGTGGTAAACCTGTGTATCATTTTGAGAAGAACTGGTATCTTTACTATGATTCATCTTCCAACTTATGAACACAATATATCTCTCCATTTATTTAGGTCTTCCTTGATTTATTTCATCTGTGTTTGTAGTCTTTAGCATGCAAATCCTATACATGTTTTGTTAAATTTATACATAAGTATTTCAGGTATTTTTTCACAATTGTAAATAGCGCTGTATTTTTAATTTTTGTGTTCACATGTTATTGTTAGTATATAGAAATAAAATTGATTTTTGCATGTTTACCTTTTTTTCTATCACTTTGCTAATAACTCTCTTATTAGTTCTAGCAGCGAATTTTTTTTTAAAGTTTCCTTGAGATTTTCTACGTAAACAATCATGTCATCAGCAAATGGGAGTAACTTATTTCTTCCTTTCTGATGCATATACCTTTTTTTTTTTTTCACTTTCTTTTTTTATTGCACTGGTTTAAATTTCTAGTAGTATGTTGACTAATATTGGTCAGAGCAGACAGACATCCTTATCTTGTTCCCATACAGGGGAAGGCATTCAGTCTTCCATTATAAAGTATAATGTTTGCTGTAGGTATTTTTATACATGCTGTTTATCAATTTCAATTATTTTAAATTTGTTGTTTTATGTCCTACAATATGATGTATATTGGTAACACTTGAAAATAATGTGTATTCTGCTGTTTTTTAGTGGAGTGTTCTACAAATGTTGACCATATTCTGTCGGTTAATGGTGTCACTTCTTCTATGTTCTTGCTGATTTTCTGTCTAGTTATTCTCTCAGTTTTTGAAAAAAACTGTTGAAGTTTGCAACTTAATTGTAGGTTTGTCAGTTCCTTCTTTCATTTCTATCAGTTTTTGCTTTCCATATTTTGTAGCTCTGTTATTTGGTGCATACACATTTAAGATTGCTATATCTTCTTGGCAGAGTCATTCTTTTGTCATTATATAATGTCCTTCTCTTTCTCTGGTAATTTTATTTACTGTGAAGTCTACTTTTTTGTTGTTGTTGAAGTCTACTTTATCTGATATTAATATAGCCATTCCTACTTTCTTTCAATCAATATTTGCATGTTATAGTTTTTCCTATCATTTTGCTTTCAATTTGCCTATATTGTTATATTTGAGGTAAGTTTCTTGTAACCAGCATATTTTTAGGTCATCTCTTTTAATCTATTCTGTCAATCTCTGCCTTTAAATTGGTGTGTTTAGACCATTTACATTATTATAATCACAGATATATTGGGGTTTAAGTCTGCCATATTATTTTGTGTTTTTTTCTATTTGTTTGCTGTGTTATGTTTCTCTCTTTTCTCTTTCCTAATTTCTTATGGGTTACTTGAACATAGTTAGAATTCTGTTGTTTTATCTTTGTGTTTTTAGTGTACCTCTTTGTGTAGTCTTTTTAGTGGTTGCTAAAACTAATGTGGATGTGATCTTGTTACCATTAGACGGTATGAGAAGTCCTGACTCTCTATTAGGGCTCCTCTGATACTATCCTAGTGGGGAGGGAGAGGCGCACTTCATTACTACCAGGAAGAGAAGTCCAGGCTCACTATGTGGTCTCCATTAATACTACAGTGGTGGTGGTGATGAGAGGAGGGAATACAGGTTTGTTACCACTCTTCAGGATTGCACATCCCCTCAGGGTTTTATTCCCACTTGGTGGGAGGTGGAGGAAAAGATAGGAAGCCTCATTACAGCCTTGAAAGTGTGATCATCTAAGCTGCCCACTCAGCCTTTGCTGGTGGAGACTAGGCCACAGTTTTCTGTGATGTTGGCTAGAGTCAAGTGGTTACTGTCTAAAGGTTTTCAGTCCTGCTAGGCCGCTCCTTTCCTGGTCATTTTGTTGAATAGAGCAGGTATTGGTTGGGCCTTTTTTTTGTCTGGTCCCAAACTGGCATTTTCAAGTTGCTGCTTCTTAAACCCCAAGTCTGAGATAATGAGGCAAAAAGAAAACCCAAGGCGTTCACCCCTATTTTATTCATTGTGCCCCAGAGTCCCTACTAGGTCTCTCTTCTCTCCACCTTTCAGAGACTTTGCTTTATATATAACGTCCAGGATTTTTAGCTGTACTTACTTAGCAGGAGGAATAGGGAAAAATGATTACTAATACTATCTCCCCAAAGGGAGAAGTTCTACAAATACATTCAGTCCCAACTTATTCACTCATTGAAAATTCCCTGTTAATTCTCTGTGCTACTACTACATTGGGTAGAGTCAGTTTTTTTCATGCTACATAGTTGAAATTATGGGTATTAGGGTTCTCCAGAAAAACAGAACCTATAGAAGATAGATACCTATATGTCTATCTATACATAGATATAGATAGATGATATAGATATAGATACAGATACAGATATAGATATAAATATAGATATAAAATAAGGAATTGGCTCATGCAGTTATGGAGGCTAACAAGTCCCAAGATCTGCAGGGTGAACTGGCAAGCTGGAGACCCAGAAGAGCTGATGGTTTTATTCCAGTCTGAGGTCTACATACTCCAGATCCAGGAGCAGCCCACGTTTCATTTCAAGTCCAAAGTCAGGAAATAGTCTCTTGCTCAGAGGAGGGGGTCAGCCTATTCAGGCCTTCATCTGGTTAGATGAGATCCACCCACATTAGAGAGAACAGTCTTTATTCGGTATACCTATTCACCTGTTAATCTCACTGAGAAACAACCTCACTGAAATACCCAGAATAATTTGACCAAATATCTAGGCACCTTGTGGCTCAATCAAGTTGACACAAAATTAATCATCATGGTATGCAAAACATTTAAAAGCTCAAGACTGCCCTGGGCAGTTTTGCTCAGCGGTTAGAGCATTGGCCTGCAGCCCAGAGGGACCCAGGTTCGGTTCCCGCTAAGGGCATGTACCTCGGTTGCAGTTTGGCCCTGGCCCTGGTTGGGTCATGTGGGTGGCAGTCACTTGATGTGTTCCTTTCATGTTGATGTTTCTCTCTTTCTCTCTCTTCCTCTCTCCCTCTCCTGCTCTATCTGAACAAAAAATGGAAGAATGTGCTTGGGTGAGGATAATAAAAAATAAATAAAAGCTCAAGACTACCAAATGGGTTCATGTGGACCTATATCTGAATTCTAACCAAGGGTTGCTCACCAATTCATGTTTTGGGCTGACTTTTATTTATATATATATGTAGAAACTCAAAGGGAATGAGTAAAGCCTTTCAAAGATTCAAAAATGTGTTTAGAGAGCAGCCGCAATAATCTGGAACTCTGTATGGCATTATGGAGAGTAAGAAACTTATGGTTGCCATGTTTCTTCGAGAGAATTTTGCGAACAGGAAAAATGTTAAAACTTATTTTTCCTGATTCTTAGAGTAAGAATTAATGTTTTCCATCATTGAAAGAGTCTAAAAATTTTATATAAGAATTTCTCATGACCTATAATCCCCTCTAAACAGCAGCAACTGTATATCTGAAAATCAGGAATTTACTCTGTTAGATCAGTATGAGCATGAATGTTCCATAATTTAAAATCTTCTAATGTTGGACATCTGGATAATCTTCAGTTTTGCAGCTTTATAAATAAGATTGCCATCTTGGTGTTGAAATCTCCGTATCTTTGTAAAGGTGGAATTGCTAAGTCAAGGGATAGAACTTTCAAGAAAGATGGTATACCAAGATTGTACCAGCAGTGGTAGCAATTGGGGCTTGAGGGCAGGGAGAGGTTTTTCTAATTTCTTTTTTAAAATTTTAATTAATTGCCCTGGCCGGTTTGGCTCAGCGGTTAGAGCGTCGGCCTGCGGTCTGGAGAGACCCGGGTTCGGTTCCCGCTAGGGGCGTGTACCTCGGTTGCGGTTTGTCCCCGGCCCTGGCTGGTCGTGCGGGTGGCAGCCACTCGATGTGTCCCTTCATATCGATGTTTCTCTCTCTCTCTCTTCCTCTCTCTCCCTCCCACTCTACCTGAACAAAAAATGGAAAAGTGCCCTCGGGTGAGGATAAAAAAAAAAAAAAAATTTAATTAATTTATTTTTGTTACAGATATTTTTCCTTTTCTCCCCATTGACACCCTCCTCCTGATCCTTCCCCACCCTGTCCCCAACATTGTTGTTTATGTCCATGGTTATGCATACATGCATATAAGTTTTGTGGTTTCTCTCTTTCTTCCTCCCTGACCCCCTCTTCTGAGGTTTGTCAATCTATATCCTACTTCTATGTCTCTTGGTCTGTTTTGTTCATCAGCTTTTTTTGTTCATTATATTCCACATATAAGTGAGATCATGTGGTATTTGTCTTTCTCTGACTGGCTTGTTTTACTTAGGATAATACTCTCCAGGCCCCTCCTCCATGTCATCTCAAAGGATAAGAGATCTTTCTTTCTTACAGCTGCATAGTACTCCATTGTGTATATGTACCACTGCTTTTTTATCCATTCGTCTACTGATGGACACTTGGGCTGTTTCCAGATCTTAGCTATTGTAAATAGTGCTGCTATAAAAATGGGGGTACATATATTCTTTCTTTTTTTTTTTTATCCTCACTCGAGGACATTTTTCCATTTTTTGTTCAGATAGAGTGGGAGGGAGAGAGAGGAAGAGAGAGAGAGAGAAACATCGACGTGAAGGGACACATCGAGTGGCTGCCACCCACACAACCAACCAGGGCCGGGGACAAACTGCAACCGAGGTACGTGCCCTTAGCGGGAACTGAACCTGGGTCTCTCTGTACCACAGGCCGACGCTCCAACCGCTGAGCCAAACCGGCCAGGGCCATATATTCTTTCTGATTGGTGTTTCAGGCTTCCTAGGGTATATTCCTAGAAGCGGGATCTCTGGGTCAAATGGAAGTTCAATTTTTAATTTTTTGAGGTAACACCATATTGGCTGCACCAGTCTGCATTCCCACCAGCAGTGTACTAGAGTCCCCTTTTCTCCACACGCTCGCCAGCGCTTGTTGTTTGATGATTTGTTGATGGCAGCCATTCTGACAATAATTTTTAAACTTTATATTTTCTAGAAGCATCAGATGGTGAAAGAGGAGGAGACGTAGAAATGGCTCAGCAAGAGACAGCTCCAGTTCCTGTCCTGTCAAAGAAAACCAAACAGGTGACAGTCACTATGGGAGTCACAGCTGTTGGGTTCTGCAGTCGTCCTCTTCTACCCTCTGCAGTGTTCCCTGTGCCGTAACATCAGCTGCTGGTCAGATTTCAGGGAAGCTTTCACCTTCCATGCCTTTGAAAAAGCCATGCTTCATTAGTTATAAGCAAGCAAGCTCTATTTTTTTTCCCCATAATATTTTTTTACAATATAAATGTATTTTATAGTAATGATATCTTAGATTTCTGTATTACATTTTCACCAAATATCCAGTCTTATTCTTTTAGGTACAGTTCCTAAAAGGAGACAAATTTCATAAAGATATTAAAGATTATCTCCCACCAACATATGATGGCAGCAGCATGCCGTACTGTCAGCAGGCGCCCAGGGCCATGTGCTGCCCAGCGTATGGTTCATTGTATGACTTCTTAGCATAGGATTTGTGCCTCCATAGGACCTCAGTGGCCACTTGATAAACTCTGTTTTCTGGTTCTGTGACCTTTTATTTCTTTTTAATCTTCCTCCTACCCACTCACATCCATTTGCAGCTTTTCCCCGTGTCCCTCAAACCATGTGTGATTTTTTTTCTTTGAAAATGTTATTTTGTTTTTAATATTTTTTTATTTTTAGATTATAGTTGACGTACAATATTAAATTAGCTTGAGGTGTACAACACCATGGTTAGCCACTTATATAACTTACGAAGAGGGCAAAATGGGAGAGGAGAAAGCTAAATACATTCTCCATTTCTGCAAGCAGTCACCACTTTCAGTGTCCCAGGTTTCTACAGCAATAAAGGCCATTTACTGAGTACTTACCACAGGCACTGTGCAAGGCCCTGTGACGTACAGGGCACCCCGTTAGACAGATCCCCTGAGGCTCAGAGAGAGGGGTTCTGGGGGCCATGGCCCACCTGGGTGGATGTGAGCCAGGTGCTGAAGATGCTGGTATCCACTTCCCTTCGCACCTGCCCTTCCTCCTTCAACTCGGGAGCACTGGGTCCACCGTGTCCTCGTGTGCTTTGTTGATCACATGCCATTGCTATTTTTAAAATTATAAAAGCTTAAGATTTTATGGCCCATTTTTTTCTACCTTCCTCTTGCTCTAATTTTTTTTTTCACTATCAAATTGTTTTAAAGAACCCAAATCCTAGGAAGACAAAATACTGTAACCCCTTCCTTCAAGCCTCTCCTTATTTCCCTGGCCAGAGAGTTGACAAGGGAATCTCCTGGGCCCCTCAGCCTCATCAGTGTCATCCATCTAGCTCCCTGGCCTCCCCCACCAGGCTGCATTCCTCCAGGACAGGTTTATCTGCCTCTCCAGAGCTCGTGGCACGAGTCGGCCCTGAACTCACACTCGTTGTCCGTGGCGTGAAGGATGGGTGCCTAGAGCAGTAGTTCAGTTCCTCACTTGTTTCACCTCAGCCCTTTGTGTCCCAGCTTGTGAGTCACCAGCTCCCTGACACTGCTGCTGCAGAGTCTTTTGGACCCTGGAGATCCAGTGTCCCTCCTCTAGCCCCTCTGTGAAGGGGTTCCCTGCCTGAACAATCAGAGCTGGGTCTTCTTCCTCCACCCCGACTGCCCTCGGGCTGCTCTGTGAGCTCTCTGTCCTCTCTCCGCCGGACCTCATCTCACCACCCCAGGGAAGACCTTCTTGTCAGACCCGCTGTCCTTTCTTGAATTGCCTCTGCTTGTTTGTGCACAAAAAGCTTGAGTCTCCAACTATAAATAAGCACGTTGGGGGCCTGCGTTCTTTGTGTTTACTACAGTACCTAGCACAGTGCTTGGCAATTGACTCATTTGGTAGATGTGACTGGATATTTATTTTCTAATAGTAATTACATTTATTTCCTGGGTCAAATAAAAAAAACAAAACTATTTTACATTCTATTAGCATTTTGTAAATTAGCTTAGTCGCTTTGCTGTTCTTTATGTTTGGGGAGGTTTATGCTTGCATAGGAACTGCCTGGCATTCCGCTGCCAGCTGTGATGCACACCTAGGCTTCACCTTCACCAGGCCAGAGTGTCTCTCGAGTTAGATGGTATTCCGTCCTGCGCCAGAGCGGGCCTCACATTTCCATTACCAAGTCCACGCCTCTCGTCTGTGCAGTATTTCAAGCCCCAGATTTATAACTTTGTAAAAGTTTTTTACCCATGCAACTACATCATCTCTAGAAACCATTTCACATCTAAATAATCTTCCTTGGCCTCCTTAATAATGTAAGTATGAAGATTTGCCAACAGGTTTTTTTTTCCAGATATTGCTTCCAAAATAAATGATGAATTCCCCCACTCCTAGAGATTGCATCACCCTCTTCCCTCCTCAACCTCAGTCATTTCAGAGCCAGCCCTAGTGACTTTGTAATTATGGTTCCCTTAAGGAATATAATCTCTTAGGAGGGACTTCGTGACTTTTCCTTGATGCCTCCATGATGTCAGTAGCCTTTCAGTGGTTCCATGACCCAGCCTCTCCCCTTCAGAGGCCATACCAGACTTTTATTTTTAGTGGAAGGGAGGGAAGTAGGGAGAGAGAGAGACATCAGTGCGAGAGAGACACATCGATTGGTTGCCTCCTGCACAACCCTGACCTGGCCAGAGATCAAACCTGTAACCCAGGTTCCTGACCTTGACTGGGAATCGAACCCATGATCCTTAGGTCTACAGGCCAATGCTCTGACAGCTGAGCCAAACCAGCCAGGGCAGAACTAACTTATTTTTCTTTCTTTCTTTCTTTCTTTCTTTCTTTCTTTCTTTCTTTCTTTCTTTCTTTCTTTCCTTCCTTCCTTCCTTCCTTCCTTCCTTCCTTCCTTCCTTCCTTCCTTCCTTCCTTCCTTCCTTCCCTCTCTCTCTCTCTCTCTCCCTCCCTCCCTCCCTCCCTCCCTCCCTCCCTTCCTTCCTTCCTTCCTCCCTCCCTTCCTTCCTTCCTTCCTTCCTCACCAGAGGACATTTTTTTCATGTTTTGTTCAGATAGAGTGGGAAGGAGAGAGAAGAAGAGAGAGAAACATCGACGTGAAAGGGACACATCGAGTGGCTGCCACCCACACGACTAACCAGGGCCGGGGACGAACTGCAACCAAGGTATATGCCTTTAACGGGAACCGAACCTGGGTCTCTCTGGACTGAAGGCTGATGCTCTAATTGCTGAGCCAAACTGGCCAGGGCTCTTTTTTTTTTTTTTTTTTTAATTCTTACTCGAGGATATTTTTCTATTTATCTTCAGAGTGGGAGGGGGAGAGAAAAAGGGAGAGAGAGAGAGAGAGAGAGAGAGAGAGAGAGAGAGAGAAAGAGAGAGAGAGAAACATCGATGTGTCCCTCTCACATATCAACTGGTTGCCTCCTGCAAGACCCCAACCAGGGCTGGGAACAGAACCACAGCCAAGGTATGTACCCTTGACCAGAATTAAACCCAAGACTCTTTGGTCCAAGGGCCGATGCCCTACCACTGAGCCAAATTGACCAAGGCAGGACTTTTTTTTTTAAAGCCAGCCTTCTGTTTATCTCCTTGGTTCATAAAGAAATCTCCAGCAAGTGTGCTTATCCCTTCCCCTCCTTACTCACCTGTCCCTACCATTGTATTTTCTTATTATTTCCTTATTTCAGTGCCAATCATTTCATATCCCTCCCACTTTATCTTTAAGATTACTCTTGATGAATTTAAGAGAAAAGACTGTTCTGTCCACTCTCTTGCTTGCGTTTTTCCTTGCCATGCTAGTGTCTCAATCCTCTTTATGTTACTCTAGTGTTGTGTAACAAATTGACCCAAAGTTAGTAGCTTAAGACCTAAAAAATTCTTTACCCCCTCGTTATCTCACAGGCACGACCTAGCTTTGTCCTTCTGGCTCTGCATCTCTCATCAGGTGCCAGTCAAGCTGTGGGCTGGGGTTGAGGGGTGCAACCGCCTTGTTGCAGGACTCAGTCCCTCACCACAGCAGCCTCTCCACAGGGTTGCCTCACAGCATTGCCACTGTACAACCACAAATCTTTCCCAGGTAAACTCTTTGCTGCCTTGGCCTCCTACCCAGGCATTTGAGGAGCAATACCCCTGAAGCTTCCTAGAGACACATTTGAGAACATCTGTGAGGCAAACCTTTAATGTCTTCATAAAGCTCTTATGTGACTAAATAGTACTCTAGGGTCGGAGGTCTGAACAAATGGATTTGCAGCCTTGACTTATTTGATAGGCCTTCTCTCCATTGCACTCCCTCCTTTTGCATTTTACTTCAAGGCACCGAAGATCAGGTGACACCTTCAACAATATTTGGATCTTCTTCAATGGAAGCCCATAGCATTTGATACGTTTTCTGCTTTTCACGCAACTGCAGACGACAGTATAGCTAAACTTACTTTTTTTTTTTATCCTCACCCAAGGACATTTTTTTCCATTTTTTGTTCGGATAGAGTGGGAGGGAGAGAGAGAGAGAGAGAGAGAGAGAGAAACATCGATGTGAAAGGGACACATCGAGTGGTTGCCACCCGCATGACCAACCAGGGTGGGGGACAAACTGCAACCAAGGTACATGCCCTTAGCAGGAACCGAACCTGGGTCTCTCTGGACCGCAGGCTGACGCTCTAACCACTGAGCCAAACCGGCCAGGGCTAGCTAAACTTTCTACCACTACATAACAAAGATTCTTTCTCCTTCGTTTTTCCGTAAAATTTTCCTCACTTTCTACAAGTCCTCACCCTCAGTGTCCCTAAAGTTCACAACTTTATGAACAGTGTGCTCAGACACACTGTCCATCCATCAATCATGTTATTTTTGGCACATTTCAAAGTAATTTGCAAAATCAATAGGCAACAACCAGACACTTCAACATGCACACCATTAACAAAAGTTCAGTATTTAAAGATCTTTCTTTTGTCCTTTTGAGGTAAAGTTGACATATAATAAAATGCACAAATGTCAAATCTACCTTTCAATTTGTTTTGTCAAATTCATGTAATTCTTTAACATAAACCCCTACAGGATAAAGAACATTACCTTCACCCCGGAACCCCTCCATGCCATCC